ATACTCAGCACTGGGGGGAAAAACAGAAAAGACAAGGTCATAATGGCTAGATTGACTAAAATCACATCTCTTTGAGTGCAGTGTTTCTCAGAATATTTGTGTGTGTATGAGTTCATGTATATATACATGTGTACACAGGAACATACACACAAGAGATTTGGACTTCTTAAGATGTAAGAAGGTAGGGAGAATTGAGAAAATATTTTCTGTGCTGAGTAATTTGATTGCAAAGGTGACTAGTTCACCTAACAAGTGTGGTTGTACTCACTAAGTGTAGAACTGTATTGCAAATGGGCTATAAGGTATTGTGTATAGGCATGGTGGTGGCATCAAGGCTAGCAGTCACTGGTGTGCAAGCTGCCATTAATCTGTGCTGGGAAAAGTGTCTTTGGGATAAAATCTGACTCCAAAGCCTGAGACTCCTTTCAATCTTGAGTTCACATTCCTTGCCATTTTTGTCTCCCATATCATTGTCTCCCAATTCCTGAGACTATCATGGGATTGATGAAACTTGTGCTAATGTGTGTGTGTGCTGTTAATTTTGTTTTTTGTTTTTGTTTTTGTTTTGCCACGTTGGTACAAGAAAGAGTCATCTGAGAAGAAGGTGCCACAATTGAGAAAATGCCTCCATCAGATTAGACTGTAAGCAAGTGTGCAAGGCATCTTTTTGATTAATGATTGATGTGGGAGGGCATGCCCTGTTTAACGGTGAGGTCCGGGAAGAGCCTCTCAGTCTCAGTCTGGTGTGGGGAAAAGAAAACTAAGCGGCGACTTATACGAGATCTGAAGTGAATTGCAAGCCCAAAGTTAGCAAGCCCAAAGTTAGCAGGAGCCTTAATTGAAACTACTGATGTTTTAAAAAGGAATGTTTTAGTTTTATAAAGCTGATATTTACGGATGCCATTTGTGTGTGTGTGTGTGTGTGTGTGTGTGTGTGTGTGTGTGTGCTCGTGAGTGTAGTATATACATGTATGGTGCACATGTGTGATGTGTATGCATATATTTGTGTGTGTGAGAGTGCATTTGTGTGTGTGTGTGTGTGCATCCAGAGGGGTCCTGCTCAATTACTCTCTGCCCTAGTTCCTTGATATAGGATCTCTCACTGAACCAGGAGCTGACCGTGAATTTGAAATACATAATTTATATATATATATATATATATATATATATATATATATTTATATGTGATAGGAATATATAGCACATACCAACCACACTGTCAGTGGTTTCAACAAATGAATTAGGCTGTGTTAACTATAGCCCAAGTCTCTAGTACAGATGCATACATCCAGCTTTTATATAGCTAGAAATCTTAATTACCTTTTCATTCCTGGAAGGCAGTTTTGCTGAGTCGTTGGTTTAATTTTTTTTTTTTTTTTTTTTTTGTTTCTTTTGGTGTGCTGAATATATTAACCCCATTCCCCCTGGCCTGTAAAGTTTCTGATTAAAAAACCAAAACCCACTGCAGACATCCCAGAAGCCTCTTGGATGTATCAGGTTACTTTTCTCTTGGTGCTTTCAGTATTGCCCCTGTGGGTTTGATACTGTATAATGTGTCTGGTGTAGATCTCTTTAGGTATCTCCTGGTTGGAGTTTGTTGAGATTTTGAATTTGTGTGCACATTTCCTTTTCTTTTAGGGTTAGGAAGTTTGGGCGGCTGTTGCTTTAGATAACCCCTCCTCCATTCTCGTTGGTTCCTGCGCAGTGGGTGAGAGGGGCTACCTGACAACTCCGCGTGTCTCCAGAGCTCGCACCACTTCCCTCGTTCATTTGCCCTCCGGTTCCTTGCTACTGTTGCTTTCTGCTGTTGAGTAGTAGTTTGTCTTTGCCTTGTTCACACTTCAGTTTCCTGAATTCTTTTAGTTGTTTTGTTGTTGTTAGTTGGACATTTAAAAAATAATTATTTCCAATTCATTGTCAGGTAATTCATATACCTGTTTCTTTAGTGTGAGTTTCTAGAAATTTATTTTGTTCTATGATTGGCTGTTTTCTTCTTCTTCTTCTTCTTCTTCTTCTTCTTCTTCTTCTTCTTCTTCCTCCTCCTCCTCCTCCTCCTCCTCCTCCTCCTCCCCTCCTCCTCCCCCTCCCTCTTCCTCCCCCCCCCCTCAGCTCCACGAAACAATGCCCACTTCTGCTAGGCAGCTCCCAGCCTGAGAGTGTGCAGGCCTCTCAATCTTTGAGTCTCTCTAGGACCATGTGTGTGATTTCCCAGATGCTTTGTCATCGAACTGAGGCCATTGTCTCTCGTTTTGGCTGGTGATTTGTTTGTGGTCCTGCGGATTCTTAGGGCTATGTCAACCTTCCTTCTCAGTGACTAGCAAGCATCCAAGTATACGGTTTCCCTTCCCAGAGTCATGTCTTCAGGCAAGGCCTGCTAAAGCCACAGTATCAATGTACATTTGTCTCCTTTCTTTCTCTTCTGTGCCCCATTCTACCTAACTGTACTAGCTGGGAGGGAGCTATCTGGAGTGTGACGGCTGATTTAGATGGATTAAGGAACACTTAGGGCAATAGTAGGTACAGGTTTGAGTGTGTCTGTAAGAGATTTTCCAGACTGTATTAAGCTAATCTGGAGGAAATCTGTACTGAATGTGGGTGGCAGTACCCCCTGAGTTAAGGTCCTGGACTGGAGAAAAGGGAGGAAAAGAAGAAAGCTAGCTGAATGATTGAATTTTCCTCTCTCGGTTTGTGAATCCACTGAGAAGTGAACAAGTAGCCTCCCGATGGCACTGACCCGAGCTGGCCATGCAGCCAGACCTTTCCTAGCATGACACGAACCAGGACCTAAAGCACGCTTGTCTTGCAGTGAGGCACAGTGGTGTGTGCCTATACCTCAGCACTTGAGAGCTGGAAACTGCATATCAGAACCTCAAGGCCAGTTCCTACCACACAGAGTTTGAGGTCAGAATGGGTTACATGACACCCAGTGTCACAACAAACACCAACACAAATTTGCAGTAGGAACCTTCCTTCAGTGACTTGTGGCAAGAATTGTGTTGCAGCATCAGAAAAGTTTCACTCCTACAGCCAGGGAAAGCAGCACACTGCACTTGCTTTGAGGTGGCTCTTCCCTCACCTGGGTGTACTCCACCTCTTAACTGGTTTCAGGAGGCCTCACAAAGGCACTTTTGTTTGTATATTTTTGTTAAATCATTGTCTTTATGGGGGGAGGTGAGAGCCAAAGACTTCCTGTTCAGCCATCTTACATCGTTTTCAAGGGTAACCGGAATCTCTGTTTTATGAGATGGGGATAATTAATATTAGTAGGCCTTTGGTAGTTAAAATGATAAAAGTGGCAACACACCTGCTCCCTGTCACCTCTGGCCCCTGTCAGGGATTCAGTACCTACTTCAGACTTCTGGCTTTGCAGTCTCTGTGATTGCCTGCCTCTCTTTAGCAACCGTTGCTAGCATTTTAGCAAATGCTGAGCATGTACCAGTCATTCTTCACATCCTTGTTATATGTATAAGCTCCTTTATTATAGCAGTTGTAAATAGGTGATACTGTGATCACATTTACATATGAGAAAATTGCTAATAGAAGGTAAACAACTTATTTAAGGTCAGGAAGCTTAAACTGATTTCAGATTCAATTTTTAAGAGACATTTCACTTTTAAGCAGAGGAACTAACTGCACTTATTGTCATGGAGAAAGTTCAGGGTCACATAGTGAAAGGGGCTCTTGGTCCTGATTGCCACGAAAGTAAATGTGTTTAGGTGTTAACTGTAGTCTCCTCAATTGCAAATTATGAGTGATAGTTTCTAGCTGGGCATGGTGGTGCACGGCTTTAGTACCAGCATTTGGGAGGTAGAGGCAGGTGGATCTCTTTAAAGGGCAGCCTAGACTACAGAATTCCAGGATAGCCAGAGCTACATAGTGCTACTCTGTTGTGAGAGAAACAGCATCCATCCTCCAGAGTGATAATTTCTTTATAATTGTTTTAATCTTTGAATTTTATATACAAATACAGTGCACTTTTATCTACATTGCTCCCAACTCCTGACATGTCCCTCCTTCCCTTTTGACATCACATTCTCATCTATAATTGTGTACACACACACACACACACACACCCTACTGAATCCATTTAGTGTTGGCCATATGCACATGGGTGTATGGCTGACCACTTAGGCATGGAAAACTTATCAGGGGGCTTGTCTCTGAAGAACACCGACTCTGTCAGAAGGTGTGGTTTGTCACCAGCTTGTCTACTAGGGGTGGAACCTCGTGAGCCCTTTCCCCGCCCATGCTTGAATGTTGACTGGTGTGGTCTGATGTAGGTTTTGTGTAGGCAGCCATAGCTGTTGAGGGTTCACAGGTGAAACATCTTTGCCATCTCCTGAGGACAGCCATCTTTCCTGTGCTCGGACTCTTATAGTCTTTCTGCCCCTGTTCTTAGATGTTTCTCAAACCGTGGGTCAGGACTTGTGTTACAGATGTTCCATGTATGGATGGGGACTCCACAGTCTCTGGTTCTCCAAACCTTGCCCAGGTGTGGTTCTTTGCAATAGCTTCCATCTGCTGCAAAAACTGAGGGCTGAGAGCTGCGCTAACCTAAAGACATAAGATTTGGCAGAATGGAGGTGGTAGCTTCTTGAAGAGGCCTTTTGCATTGCGAAATGAATATTCCTTAAACTGTACATAGTTAGGACAACCTTAAATGGAATCTTTTGTTTTAATAGGTAATTACTCAGTTATTATAGATATTATTAAGTGTTAATTATAAAAGGTAATTATGCTGCTGAAAGTGTCTATAATGTTATATATCAAAGTGCAAAGTGACACAAAAGATGAGAGTTTTTGACAGTTGCATGTAAAAGATGTATTGTGGTCGTATTGATGCCCCAATACCCTTCCTTTTCCCTCTCTCACGCTAGTGGGATCTTCTTCCCAATCAGTGTCCTCCTACCCTCATGGCTTGCTTTATTTAATTTTATGCAGATAGCCAGGGGGATGAATTTTGTGTATTGTGTATATAGATTTTTTTTTTTTTTTTTCAGGACAGAGTTCATTCAAAGAGGCAGAATCTCAATCACAGGGGCTGGATTTCTCAACTGTATTTTGGAAACTTTTGCTAGTGCATTCTTAAGACAGGGAGCCCAGAAGGTAAGCTTGCTTGTACTTTGAACTAACAGTAATTTTAAGAAAATATGGAGGAATCAGTTGGGTTGTTGAATATGACATAGAAGAACGTCATGAACAGATATATTATTTTTTTAAAAAGGGAGTTAATGAATAAACATAGCCTCAAAATTTCTCTTAATAATTGTTATGACCAAGATAAACCAGTCTGAATACGTTCTAATGAGCCATGAACTGAGTTGTTGTGATTAATGATGTGTTTTTGGCCTAGTTGAGGGGATTTCTGTCATGTGTCCAGATTGGTTTATCCCAGGCTGGAAGGGAGTTGTTGAATTCCTAGAAGGTCTAATATTGCTTTTACTCACTGAAACATTATTGTGCTTGTTTTCTGCTAGGCTACAATATGTACATTTTTTTTTAAGAAAAAAAAAAAAAAAAACCAAAATGAAAAATACCACCACCATACTCCTATCTGCAAAATTGCAATCTCAAAGTAATACCCCTGGTGAGAAAATTAATTTTATCACTGTGTCTCTGACTGAGTTGACTCCTTGTTCATCTATTAAATCCCATATTAGAAAAGCTGTAATAATAATAATTAAGTATAATTGTTTTGCACACAAGCCTATTCATCAAAAGGATGGAAACCCTTTTGGGAGAGATAATATTTAGAAGTTGAGATTTCTTACTATTAAGTTGGCTACACATACTCATTTGTAAAATAAAATAAAACTGTATCCCGTGGTCCCTATAAAAACAGATAGCAAGCTGTATTAACCCTGGAGGTTATGGCTTGCCTCACTTTAGATAAATACATGTTGTCCATTCACACAAGTGACTTTGTATTTTAGCTGTCATCAATCTGAACCTTTTAATAATTGATCTTGATCCTGTAAAATATATGAAGTGGTTTGCATTCCCATTTTATTGTTGAAAGATGATTAAGTATGTATACCTAGCATACGCTTATCATCTTGCCTATCTTCTTACAGGAAAGTACCTGCCTTGTGCTAGGCACTGTGTTAATGCGGGTGTGGAGGTTTGAAATAGGTATGCCCCCACAGACGTGTGTGTTTGAATGCTTGGCTTATAGGGAGTGACATTTTTAGGAACGTGGCCTTGTTGGAGTAGGTGTGACTTTGTTGGAGGAAGTGTGTCACTGTGGGGGCACAGTGGTGGGGGCAGGCTTTGAGGTCTCATATGCTCAAGCTATGCCCAGTGTGGGACTGAGTTCATTTCCTATTACATGCAGATGTAGAACTCTTTATCTCCTTCCCTTGCACCATGTCTATCTGCCTGCTGCCTTGCTTCCCACCATGGTGATAATGGACTATATCTCTGAAGCTATAAGCCAGCCACAGTTAAATGTCTTCCTTTATAATAATTGCTGCAGTCATAGTGTTCTTCATAGCAATAAAAACCCTATCTAAGACAGGGGGCCAAATGTACTTACATGAACATAGAAATAGTGACATGTAGGCTCTAGACTCACATCCATCTTCCATTGGCAACTATTCACTCTTCCTTCAAGGCCCCAAGTAGATGTGGTAAAGCCCTTGCCTTCTCAACACAGTGACCTTCACACAAATGGCTGTGCTGGGACAGACTTGTGTTATACCATATACTCCGTGTATATATTAGGATTCTTTGGGTGCCAGTGACAAAAAGCACTTTAGGTTGGTCATTGGAATGGTGCCAGGGTGCAGAGGCTGGCTGCTGGCTTCAGGAAGAGCTGCACTGAGGTGGGAGCTTCGGAGCACCTGTGCAGGCTCCATTCTCCAGTCCGGCACACCTGCTCTGTGGAGACCTGTGTGCTTCATGGTTCTCTTTCCTTCAGTCTGGTTCTCTCTGTGTGGGTGGCGAATAGAATTCTAGCCAATGAAAAGACTGACTGCATCTCTCTCTCTTTCTGACAGCAAAATGACTATTTCTTCTTCTTTTTTTTTTCCTAATGTTTCTAGAAGAAGAGGCCCTTGTTCGCAAACAGGTCAAACAAGGCTGGGGGGGGGGTTGAATGGCAGCTGTACAAACATGCCCACCTTTTCTGTCATGACCACGGGGATCAGGGCTGAGGTCACTCCTTAGAGAAAGGGCCTGTGTATGTGGGGTATTCCCAAGCCATTTTTGTTTCTACCATGTTCTCACAGTAGACTCTGTACCCTGATGAGAGAGAGAGAGAGGAGAGAGAGAGAGAGCACACTCTGTCCTCGCCTCCCTTTCTCTCTCTCTTTCCTTCTTTTCCCTCACCCCCTGCTGTACACTGTGCCAGAAGAGGATGTTAGGTATCTTAGTCTGTCTCTCTCTGAACCTGAAGCTAGACTGCTGATCAGCAAGACCTAGCTATCCTGCTGCCTTCCACCCTGCTACCAAGTTACCAACTTTAGGTCACAGGTGTGTGTGTGTGTGCGTGTGCATGCGAGCACATGAGTGCGTGGCCAGCTTTTTATGTGGATGCCGGAATCTGAACTCTGGTTCTCATGCTTGCACGAGTACTCATTGAGCCATTGAGCCCCAGCTTTCTTAGTCTTGGTCCTAATTCCTCCCTAAGCTGTGATACTCTGCAGTGCCTCGTATGTGTATGTGGAAATGAATAGCAGTAGGTAGAATGCAGAGGGGTGTGTTGTTGGCTTATGAATATTCATGGTAACAAAGCCAACAAAACCAGGTGACTAATGTTTTAACCTGACGAACCCTTTATTCTTTTTGATTATGTTTGGAAGGAAGAGAATGCATTTTTCCTGCTAGCTTTTCTAACATTGCTTTCTGAAAAGGCTAAGTTTAATTAGCCTTCCTGTTTTAGAAGGCATCCATGCTTAAGTGCCTTTCACCTCTTACCCACACGTGATGCCATTTTTGTAGGGCCAGCCTGCCTGCCTGCTAGACCTCACACTTCTGCCCAAGTGCTCATGCTGGGGATTTAGATGGCTATATTTTCACTTTTGGACTTCATCCTTGAGGCTGTTTAGTGGTGTCAAAGGTAGGATCTGATAGCTATTTTTTTTTCCCCTAGTAAAAGCAAAACTAGACACTCAAACTTTCTATCTATGTTTGTAAATTGAAGCCAGGCTGTCGATGCAGGGCTGTAGGTGAGGTTGCTTGTTCAATTGCATTTTTCCTTTTCCCTTTGCTATTTCAGTGCAGGGTGCAATTGAAGCCCTTTTTGACACGTGTGCTGGCTTTCACGCACCAGTCAGAGGCTGCCCTCCTCTTGGATTTTCATCCGCTGGTTTGTTTCCCCTGGCATGGCTCCAGGCATGGCCCTGTAGTGGGACAGGTTGTACATGGGTGGGCCGCTGTGTACCCTTCCATCACTTTTGTGACTTGGCAGCAAGTTTGCTCCTTCATCAAAGAGGGATTTTTATGCAGTCCTAGAGAAAGAAAACTATGAGGGTTTTAAAGTTGCAACACTCAGGTCACATGTAAATACAGGCTCTCTTTGCTTTTTTAAGAGTTAAAAACACCACAATCCCATGCTTCTCTGTCAGGCTTTCTTATCGTTACTCCTCCCCCCCCAAGCATGTGAACATGGGTAGGAGCACATAACTACATTTTAAACTTTATTCAACTCCATCAGCATCTTCTCATTAACTGTGTGCTGGGCACTGGGTAGAGTGCTGGAGGCAGAAATGAGACATAAATTATCTTTCTTTTGTGTGATTAAAAAGCAGCTCTTAAATTATATGTGTATGTTTTATACAGTTCTATAACTATAACTATTTTAAAGATACAATTGTTGAATAATATAAATTTTAAAACATACTTATCAGATGTTCCAAAAAGAATATAAGAAATTATTAGGTAGTTACACAGTCAAAGCACTTGTGGTTTTCTAGTGGGGAAAAGGCTTCAGAGACCATGTAACTCATTGTTCTTTCTTGGACTTATTCTCAAAACAGCTTCCTAGTGCATTGAACTTATTTGCATAATAAATTTTCTATTAACTATAAGAAAATAAATAATACATAATTCCTAGGATGGAGCATACCTTGTGCAGCTTTAATTTGGGGGCTTGTTGCTGAGGGTGGAAAGCACGCTAGGCAGTGATGGAACATTTGCTGATGCTGGGAATGGATGAAGCCTGGCTCGGTGCTTGGACTCTGAGTCTGGGGAAGGTATTAACAAGGCAGCTGGTGAGTATGACAGTTGAAGATGACAAGCCTGTGCCTCGCATCTTGCCTTGTCTGCTTCTCTGAGCAACTCTGTGATATGGGAATTGCTGTCCTTTTATTTGCACAAGGAAGCCAAGGTCCCAAGTGACAGAACAGTTTTCTCAAGGTTACTAATTTAGAAAGTGGGACAACTGGAATGTGACCCAAAGCTTGTCTGACCCCAGAGTGTGCTCTTGGTTTCTAACTTTTATGGTCCCATCTATATTCTCTGCACTTAAACTGTGTACAAGTTGAGGGGTAGGTGTGTGTGCTTAGGACAATGAAACCCAAAGTCATATGTGTACAGTGAGGATAAAAGAATGCAAAAAGAGGGTTCCCCTAGATGATGGAAGAACACGGAACAGAGCAGAAGGACGGGGGTGATCATTTTTACAGTTTTAGGAGCAGGTAGTCTTTGTTCAGTCAATGAAGGGCTTGCCAAAAAAGTGTGAGGACAGGACTTCAACCCCTAGAACTCATTAAAAAAAAAAAAAAAAAAAAAAAAGCTGGGCTTTAATTCCCAGTGCTGAGGAGGCAGTAAAAGGTCAGTCCTTGGAACTCGAGGGCCAGCCAGCCCAGCTTACCCAGTAAGCTTCAGTCCAGTGAGAGACTTCATCTCATGAAGTAAGATGGAGAGCTCTTGAGGAACAACACTGGGAGTTTACTTCTTATTCCACCTGCACACACACTTGTACAAACATCCTACCCACATAGACACATATGAACAGACAGACAGACAGACAGACAGACACACACACACACACGGATATATACAAACACAAACTTACACATTCGGACACATACCTACACACACATAGAAATACACACACAGGTTACAGACAAATAGACAAATATACATACACATAAGCAGGCAGG